AATAAGCTTAAGAGTTTTATTAGGAATGTAACTGACAAAAAGTATGGTTCTGATGCTGCTTGATAAAGCCAATGATTTGAAACAGAGTGACAAGAGAAAAATAAAGAAAAAGTTTTTGTTCAGTGGCCAAAGAATTGAGAAGCAGGAACTTTGCTCACAAATGAGCTTTTTTACTCCATGAAGTTGAGGAGTTACAGAGAGAGGATAGGAATAAGGAGGGAGAGAAACTGATAAAAGGGAGGAAGATGAATGTCTTTTCTGGGGACTAGGTAGTTTGTTGTTGCTGTTTTTGGTGCTGGGGTTTGAACCCAAGGGTGTTTTACCACTGAACTACATCCATAGACCTTTTTATTTTTTTGAAACAGGGTCTCCCTAAGCTGCCCAGACTGGCTTGAACCAAAAAGAAGTAGCCGGTGTTATTTTGTTGAGTGTTGGTTTTAGGTATTTCTTGGTGAGAAATTATTTATTGAAAATGAGATACAGAGGGATTGGGGATGTGACCCAGTGGTAGAGAGTACTTGCCTGGCGTGTGTGAGGCACTGGATTTGATTCTCGGCATCACTTAAAAATAAATACATAAAATAAAGGTCCTTTGACAATTAAGATGTGTGTGTGTGTGTGTGTGTGTGTGTGTGTGTGTGTGTAAAAGACGTTCAGAAATAGGTAGGAGCCATGTGATTTGGGCTTGGAAGGTATGGGTAGAAAAACCATTTCTTCCTTTTCCATGGTGTACATTTTCCACCACAGAATCCCTTCAAGTCATTTTCCTTTCCCTTTCCTTCCCAGGTTCCCAAAATATTTGGAGGGGAAAAAAATTCCTTCCCTGAAAAAAGCTGTGAATTCTTTAAATGTTTAAAGCTTTTATTAATGGAGCATACTATCACCCATCTGCTTTTCATGGAAAAATGATATTAGCACTACAGATCAAACTAGTATTCACTGGAATCTTATAACAGTTTTGTATGTTAGTCTCCACTTCCCCGATCCCCACCTTGTGTTGTGGGATCAGACCTAGGGCTTTGTGCATGTTAGGCAAGCCCTTTACCACTGAGCTATATTTTCAACCCCTTATCTAACTATTCAAGAGATGGGAGGAAAAAAAACCTAGAGGCAACATATATAGTAAATTTTCAAGGAGTTTTACTGTAAAGGAAGAGAAGGGGAGGAATAAGATTGTAGCACATGTTTTCTTCTGAAGCTTGGTATCCTTTACATCTCTTTATATGCTTTATACAATTTTTTTGCATTAAATTTTCACTATCAATCAAGGCTCAAATAGAAAATTTCTTTTGTATTTGGTCCATAGGAATGAAACTAAGGCTTGAAAGATTAATGGAGATTTACTAGGAAAAGAAAATTGGTATCAGAAGAGGTTTTAAGTAAATAGCATATGTTAAGTCAGAGATATGAAAAATGATGTGCAGTGGTATGTCATGTACACTAGAGACTTTTATCCTGAAAGCATTGAGAAAGTAAATCTGCTTTTCACTTTAGAAAAAAAATCATTGTTATTTAAAAAAATTTTTTTTAGTTGCAGATGGACACAATACCTTTATTTTATTTATTTTTATGTGGTGCTGAGGATTGAACCCAGTGCCTCACACATGCCAGGCAAGTGCTCTACCACTGAGCCACAATCCCAGCCCTGTGACTGAAATCTTTTTTTTTTTTTTTTAAGCACTAAAGCTTTTTTTTTTTCAGTTGTAGTTGGCCACAATATCTTTTATTTTATTTATTTATATGTGGTGCTGAGGATCAAACCCAGGGCCTCACATGTGCTAGGTGAGTGCTCTACCGCTGAGCTGCAACCCCAGCCCCTGTAATAAAAGGATAAATTTTTAAGTCAGGCTTAAAATTTGCAACCTTGCTTTGTTTTTCTCACCCTTTTACTGGTAAAAATGTTATCTCAGACTTTTGATCCTTGATTTATGGTAACTGTACTTTTTCTTGTTTAAAAAAACAAAACAGAGGTGCACAGTGGCACACGTCTGTAATCCCAGCGGTTTGGGAGGCTGAGGCAGGAGGATGGTTCAAAGCCAGCCTCATGGGCTGGGGTTATGGCTCAGTTGTAGAACACTTGCCTAGTATGTGTGAAGCACTGGGTTCAATGCTCAGCACCACATAAAAATAAATAAAATAAAGGTATTGTGTCCATCTGCAATTTAAAAAAAAAAAAAACAAACAAGTACCCCCTCAGCAAAAAGTGAGATGCTAAGCAACTCAGTGAGACCCTGTCTTTAAATAAAATACAAAATAGGGCTGGGGATGTGCCTCAGTGGCTGAGTGCCCCTGAGTTCAACCCTCGTTCCCCACTCCCCCCACCACACCAAAAAACTTGAGTAATTTAAATCCTGTCAGATAATTATATTGTATTCTGAAAATTTGTAAATTCAACTTGGCTTTGTGTCTGTTAACTCTTATTTAAGGTGGATAATTTTCATGTTATTTAATGTTCCTTTTTAAAAAATATTTATTTTTTAGTTGTAGGTTGGACACGATACCTTATTTATTTATTTTTATGTGGTGCTGAGGATTGAACTCAGGGCTTTGCACCTGCTAGTCAACACTACCTCAGAGCCACTACTCCTGCCCTAATGTGTCTTCTTTAGGGGTGAGGGTGGGGGGAGTGGGGTCTGAACCCGGGGGCACTCAACCACTGAGCCACATCCCCAGCCTTTTTTATATTTTATTTAGAGGCAGGGTCTCACTAAGTTGCTTAGAGCCTTGCTCAATTGCTCAGGCTGGCTTTGAGCTTGAGATCCTTCTACCTCAGCCTCCTGAGCTGCGGGGATTTACAGACATGCACCACTGCATCCACTATTTGGTCTTTATTTAGAATTACTAATATTCAGTAGGGCTTTTGTGGGCATTCTTAAGGTCTGGTGAAGGATTTTATACCTTCAGTTATTACATTTGTTGTTAGTAACCCATGAACACTTTTTTTTTTTTGAGAATTTTAATATTTATTTATTTATTTTAGTCTTTGCGGATACAACATCTTTGTTTGTGGTGCTGAGGATCAAACCTGGGCCGCACGCATACCAGGCGAGCACGCATACCAGGCCAGCGCTACCGCTTGAGCCACATCCCCAGCCCCCATGACCACTTTTTATGTAAATAGAGATAGATCCTCAAAGCCAAATGAGCACAAGACAAGCTGTGAGAAGCTTCCTTAGGATTACTTTTTGCCAATGAGCATATTCTGTTTCCTAGGTGATTCTCGTTAAGACTTTAGTCCTTTCTAGGTTTCAGGCAAAGGTCTTAGTTCCAGCATTCTGTTTCTCAAAGAATTTCTCTTGTTTTTTGAAAATGTGCTTGATAATATGAAGAATTTGCAGATGTTTTGTAGTGGAATAAATTTCAGCTTATTAACTCTGTTCTGTTGTCAGGATTGGATGACTTGATCTTTACAAATTTACTTACTTTGTATTTTCTCAATGGAGATATTAGCCCTTCTTTCCACTTTACTTTTTTCTAGCTGTTTATTATTTAGTTTATCACCTGCAGGATACATGGGCTGTTTTACTGTCATTGGCCGGATGACATATTCAATGGAGCAGCTTCAGAATTTTCATATAGAAAGGATAAATATGTGTGCCATAATTTTAATATTATTTTTGTGTCTTTAATCTTATGATAATGTTTAATTTGTAGCTCACACTTTTATCTTCTTTAGTAATTTTTTTCACTCTGCAAAGTAAAGCCTGGATGGTTGTACTTTTAGAAATTTGGTAGTTCTGATCTTTGGCGTATATTTTAGGAGTTAAATGACTATTCCTTTGGTATTCTTCTGAAGAAATGCTCATTATAGTTTTATTTCCTGATGTAAACCTTTTATGATAAGATCTTAATTTACTTTATTTTCAATTCTTGAATCAGGCAACACTTCATTGCATAAAACAGAATAAGTGTTCCCTCTTAGCATAAACTTTTAATGCTGTAAATTTCTCCATAAACCCTACTTTGAGCTGCATCTCACCACCCCCCCCAACCCCCAGCCTGTCTTTCAGTTTTAGTACAGGGTCTCCCTCAGTTGCTGAGGCTGGCTTTGAACTTGATATCATCCTGCCTCATACTCCAGAGTAGTTGAAATTATAGGTGTGTGCTGCTGTGCCTGACTGTATCCTACAGATTTTGATGTTATGTTTCCATTATAGTTTCTACAGAGTTTTTCTAATTTTCATTGTGATTTCTTTTTTGACCTGTGAATTTCCAAATATTTGGAAAATTTTCCAGATTTATTTTTGTTAATGATTTCCAGTTTAATTTGTCATGATCAGAAAACATTGTATGATTCTAGTACTTTTAAATATAGTGAAACTTCTTTTATGGCCCTTATGTTTTAAAGAGTGTGGGATTGGAGATGTAGCTTAGTGGTAGAACACTTGCCTATTGTGTGTGTGTGTGTGTGTGTGTGTGTGTGTGTGTGTATATATATATATATATATATATATATATTTAAGATGTTCATTCTCCAACATCTTAAAAGTGTATGTTCTAGTGTTGGATATAGGTTTTTTTTATGTCAATTAAGTAAAACTGGTTGGTAAAGTATGAACCAGTTCTTATTACTGAATTTCTGCCCACATTTTAAAAATCAGTTACTAAGAAAGGGGGTGTTAAAACCTCAAACTATTATATTCGATATTTTCAATTCTACTTATTCCTAATTTATAAAAAGCCAAAATTTCAGTATAGTTTATTTATATTGTTATCCTGGATTTTATATTACTTGGGCTTAAAATAGTGGACCCCATTTGCTAAGATTTGCATAATCTGTATATCTAGAAGCACACAAACAAGCTTAAAAAATATAAGCTTTTTTTTTTTTTTTCTTCTTTGAGTGGTCTGGTGATCAGACACAGGATCTTGCACATATTAAGCAGTCTACCTCTGAGCTTACATCTCTAGCCAAGTGTAAACTTTTACTTCAGTGAATTTTATTGTAGCAAACACAAAGCCACAATTACGACTTATGCTTTTTTCCTCCTATGTTATAGGAATAGACTTTAAGATCAAAACAGTTGAATTACAAGGAAAGAAGATCAAGCTACAGATATGGTAAGTGATGCTAATTTACTCACTTTATATAGCAGAATAACAAGTTCCTTAAAGTTTGGTGGTGAAATTCTTACTTGTTTAGATTCTTTTAGACTTCCCTTTCTAAAACAGACAATCAGTGTAGTAGAAAGATTATTACCAAGGACTTTGTTGTCTGTGAGATCTGGCTGTGTAATTTTTTCCACTTGTATGAACTTGCAAGTTACATAGTCACCATTAAGGCTTTTCTCAAAGGATCATTATAAGGGTCACATGAAATAATTTATGAAGAGGCTTCAGCACTATGCTTTGCTCACAGACATCTAATATGAAAAGTTATTATTATAATTCTTTTGTTGCTTTGAGAATTTTAAACTAAATTATTCATTTTTCTCAATGTGTTTTAAGCTGGGTGCAGCGCTAATACATGTAATCCAATTGGCTCCTGAAGCAGGAGGATCTCAAATTCAAAGCTAGCCTCAGCAACTTAGCAAGACCCTGTCTCAAAATTTAAAAAAGGGAAATGGGGCTTGGGGATGTGGTTCAGTGGTTAAGCACCCCTGGGTTCAGTCCCTGGTACCCAAAAAAAAGGAGTTGGGGGGTTGGGAACTTAGCTCAGGGGTATAGTTCTTGCTTCGCATATGTGCTCTGGGTTTGATCCCCAGCACCACAAAAAGAAAAGGAAATTATAGGCATTATTATTTTTTTAAATATTTTTTTTAGATGTTGATGGATTTTATTTTATTCATTTATTTAAATGCAGTGCTGAGAATCGAACCCAGGGCCTCACATATGCTAGGCAAGTGCTTTGTATGTTAGGCAAGCACTGAGCTGTATCCCTAACCTTTATTTTATTCTTTTTTTTTTTTTAAACTGGAAATTTAATTGGCATTTTACCACTGAGATATGTCCCCAGCTGCTCTCCCCGAATTTTTTTTTTTTTTTTTTTAAGACAGGGTCTCACTAAGTTACTTCGGGCCTCCCTAAATTGCTGAGGCTGGCCTTGAATTGTGGTCCTAAGGTTTCAGCTTCCTGAGCCACTGGGATTACAGGTGTGTTCCACTATGCCCAACTATTTTATTTTATTTTTTAATGGGCTTTGAACCCAGAGCTTTGTTCATGCTATGTAAGTGCTCTGCCACTGGGCTACACCCCTAGTGGTCTCCCCTCCCCTTTTTTTAACAATTTGAGGTGGGGGTGGGGGCTGGGGTTGTGTCTCAGTGGTAGAGCGTTTGCCTAGCATGTGCGAGGCCCTGGATTCAATCTTCAGCACACATAAAAATAAATAAAATAAAGGTATTGTGTCCAACTAAAACTAAAAAATAAATATTTTAAAATAACTTGAGACAGAATCTCTCTAAATAGTTCAGGCTGGCCTTAAACTTGCCATCCTCCTGCTTCAGCCTTCTAAGTAATTTTGGATTGCAGGCAAGGGCCACCACTCCTGGACTCATGGGCTAAATTTAGCAGTATTTTTTAGTGAATATTATTTGTATTCAGGTTATTAAACTATTAAATACTCATGTGCCTTGGTATAAATGTACTTATGTATACAACTGAAATGAAAGTTCACAGAGCAATTTTTTCATACATATTTTGCTTTGTAGAATATGTAAAACTTTTGTCGTAACTCTGTCCTCATTTTCCCCCATCCGCTTACCTTCTATAGACTTTCTCTTCTGTTCCTTGACCTTGTAGATTTATATTTCTCCCCCTTTATCTTTTTAGTTTTTATGTAACTTTTGCAAGTAAACAGTAACAAACAGCTAGCCCTTCTTTTAAAAAAGAAGTCTCTTCCTTTAAAGGTGGTCTTTAGTCCTCCAGTATGGCCTTCAAGATTAATATATAAAAGATTTCTACTGTACTGCTTAATATGCAAGCACAGCATATTAAGTATAATATTTCTAATTTAAAGCTTTAGACTTTTTTGTTTCATGGTGCTAGGAATTGAACCTAGAGCCTCAAACATGTTAAATAGGTGCTCTATCACTGAGCTACATCCCCCACCCTTTCTGTTTTCCTTCCTTCCTTCCTTCCTTCCTTCCTTCCTTCCTTCCTTCCTTCCTTCCTTCCTTCCTTCCTTCCTTCCTTCCTTCCTCCCTCCCTCCCTCCCTCCCTCCCTCCCTCCCTCCGTCCCTCCCTCCCACCAGGGATTGAACCCAGAGGTGCCCAACCACATCCCCTGCCCTTTTTTCTTTTTAACTTTTTTTAGTAGTAGATCCTCCTTGGGCTGGGGCTGTAGCTCAATGGTAGAGTGCTTGCCTCACATGTGTGAGGTACTGGGTTCAATCCTCAGCACCACATAAAAATAAATAAGTAAATAAAAATATTGTGTTCATCTACAACTAAAAAAAAATATTTCAAACAAATCTTGAGATCCTCCTGCCTCAGCCTCCCAGTTCACTGGGATTACAGGTTAGAAAACTCTTTTTTTCCCCCACAATACCTTTATTTTATTTATTTTTTATGGGGTGCTGAGGATCGAACCCACGGCCTTGCACATGCTAGGCAAGTGCTCTACCACTGGGCTACAACCCCAGCCCCATTAGAGAACTCTTAATGCAATAAAACATGTGCAGAGGTAACTGACCTAGAATATTATTAGGACATCTTTAAAACAGAATTAAATTTTGAGTCTCATATAATGGCATTATTGCCTCTTTGTCTATTTTTATGGAAAATATCTTTCCGAATCTAAGGATAAACTTGAACTCATGTTCTGCTTGTATCTTTACATAATGCTTATCACATAGACACACTGAATATTTGAGTTGATGAGTAAAATTGATAAATGAAATGCATTAAGTCCATTTAAAATGTGAAAGATGGGCAGGAGCCCGTCATGTATAGGCAGTGAGAACAGCTTGTGCAGAAAGCTGAGGGTATAGCTCAGTTGTTGAGCAAAATGCAAGACCCTGGGTTCAGTTACCAGCACCAAGGGGGGGGAATAAAGGCAAAAATACAAGCTTATGTATTTAGGGAAAAAATGTAGCTCTTATGGTTGGGGTAAAGGATGCCCAAAATAAAGGGAGCTGAAGAAAGGTATAGATTCTATATGGATTTATAAACCCTGGAGTGAGGAGTTTGTAATTGATTCTACTTATAATGTGTTGCCGTGTTGTCATTAGAAGTTTTTTTTTTTTTTAAGAGATTGAGAGAGAATTTTTTTAATATTTATTTTTTAATTTTGGTGGACACAACATCTTTATTTTATTTTTATGTGGTGCTGAGGACGAATCCAACGCTCCGTGCATGCCAGGCGAGCGTGCTACCGCTTGAGCCACATCCCCAGCTCAAGTTTTTTGTTTTTAAGCCTGTTATATTTTTAGTTTGTTGGCTTTGTAATGGATTTATTAAGACATACTTCACATGCACATAATTTACCCATTTACAATGTATAATTCAGTGGGTTTCGGTTTATTTGTAAGGTTACGCAACCATCATAACAATTTTATCACCCCAGAAAAGAAACCTTATACCTTTCACACTCAGTTCTCCCAATCTCTTTGTCAGGGTACCTATTGGTCTACTTTTTGTCTGTATAGATTTTCCTATTTAGGTCATCTTTTACACATGAAAACATAGTGTATGATTTTTTGTGACTGACTACTATCACTTAGCATAATGTTGTCAAGGTTAGTCCATATTGCCTTTGTATCAGTACTTAATTTTATTTTTTAATTTTTTTTGATGCTGTGGGTCACATACAGGGCCTTGTACATGCTCATTTATCAGTTGACATACATGGGTTGTTTCCTATATTTTGTTAGAAATTATGTTGCTGTGAGTATACATGTCTAAGTTTTTGTGTGAACATGGTTTTATTTCTCATTATACTTAGAACCAAAAATTTCTGAATTGTATGGTAGCTTCGTTTATGTTTTGAGTAAATGCCAGACTTCCATGATGACTGCATCATTCTACATTGTCACCAGTAATACATAAGGGTACTAAGTTCTGTCCATCCTTACTAATGTGTTACTGTTGTTTGTAGCCATCTTAGACTAACTGAAGTGGTATTTCATTGTAGTTTTGGTTTGCTTTTAACTTAAGACTAATGATGTTGAACATCTTATATGTTTACTGGACATTCATATATCTTTTTTTGGAGAAATGTCTATTCTTTCTTTCCTTTTTTTTTTCCTTTCTTATTGGGGATTGAACCCTGGGCCTTTCACATTCTAGGCAAGCACTCTACCTCTGATCCTTTTTATTATTAGGACAGGGTCCTTCTAAATTTCTGGCCTCCAATTTGTGGCCCCCCTCAGTTTCTTGATTACCTGGGATTACAGGGGTGTGCCACTGTGCCTGGCTTCCTTTGCCTTTTTTTGGGGGGGATGTACCTGGGATCGAACCCAGAGGCACTTAACCACTGGGCTATAGCCCTTTTAATATTTTATTTAGAGACAGTATCTTGCTGAATTTCTTACGGCTTCTTTAAATTGCTGAGGCTGGCTTTGAACTTGCGATCCTCCTGCCTCAGCCTCCCCACTCACTGGGTTATAGGCATGTGCCACCACACCTGGTTTCCTTTACTCATTTTTAACTTTTCTCATTTGTTCTTTTGTTGAACTGTAAAAATTTTCTGCGTATCTGCATATATGTCCCTTATCAAATATTGTAAACATTTTCTTCTATTTTATGAGTTGTCTTTATTTTCTTGGTAATAGTGTCCAATGAAGTACAGATTTTTAATTTGCTGAAGCTCAGTTTATCTGTTTTTTGTTTTTTGTTACTTTGACATATCTAAGAAACAGTTGTTAGATTCAAAATCATGAATAAATATTCTCCCTTTGTTTTCTTCTAAGAGTTTTAATAGCTTTAGCTTTTGCATTTAGATGTTAAATTATGTCGGGGTTTTTTTTGGGGGGTGGGTGGGTATTGAAGATTGAACCCAGGGATGCTTTACCCTTCTTTAATTTTGAGATAGGGTCTCACTAAGTTGCCAAGACAGGTCTCAAGCTTGTGATCTTCCTCCTAAATTGCTGGGATTATAAGCATGTGCCACCATGCCCAGCTTAGAATATGTTTTAAGTTGATTTTTCTATGTGGTAAGAGGTAGAGATCCAACTTCACTTTTTGTATCGGTATGTTAATTTGTTCCAGCATCATTGTTGAAAAAGGTATATTCTTTTCCCCATTTAAACTATTTGAAGTTTTTAAGCAGAAAAATTATATGATCAGACATGTTTAAAGAAAATTATTCATCTACTATGTGAGCCTTACATCTCAGAATCTTAGAATGCCAGCCAAAATTCTGAAAAGGAGCAGCCAGTAACAGAACAGAGAACAAAAATGTGTATCTCAAAAGTCATGAGTATAAAGTGTTTTGAGAAGAAAAAAAAAAGAGGTCAACTATGTGGAATCATACCTAGTAACTCTTGGATTTGTCAAGCAGAAAGATATTGGAGACTTTTTGAAGAGCAGTCTTGGTGTAGGGTATTTAGTAAGAGGAGTTTGTTTAAAGTTGATTGAGGGGGCCTGGGGATACAGCTCTCAGTGCACAGAGCATGTGCTTAGCCAAGGGCAAAGCCCTGAGTTCAGTCCTCAGCACCAAAAAGAAGAATTGGTTGAGGAATGAGTATGGGGGAAGCAGCAGCTACAAGTATTCTAGAAGGTTGCTGGAGAACTGAGGGTATAACTGAGTGATGACATTTGCCTAGCATGCAAAAGGCCCTGGGTTCAATAATCAACACTGTGAAGCTTTTATTGTAAATGATGACAAGCTTATCTTAAAATTTGTATGGAAAGAGTAGCATAGGCTAAAACAATTTTGACAAAGTAAAATGAGTGAGGAAAATCATTCATCTGGCTTTAAAACATTTTATTTAGCTACAGAAAACCAAAACATGGTAAGGGGGGAAGGCATGGACACAGTAGGCATTGTAACAGAATAAAGAACCCAAAATTAGACTAAACTAGGACTCTAGATTTTTGGCAAAGGTGCAGAAGTATGGTGTGAAACCACTTTGTATTGAAGTTAAATCAAAATATGTGCTCTGTTTAATAAACCTTAGACTTTTAGATACAAATGTAAGAAATCTTTTGGAAATAAGACTAAGAGAGGTCTGGGGTTGTGTCTCAGTGGTAGAGCACTTGCCTAGCACATGTGAGGCACTAGGTTTGATTCTCAGCACCATTATAAATAAATAAATAAATAAAATAAAGGTCCATTGACAACTAGAAAATATTTTTAACAAAGATTAGATGAAGAAAGAGTTCTTAGGCATGACATTAAAAACTTGATTCATTTTTAAAAATCAGTAAATCGAGCATCAACAAAATACTTGTTCAGAAGAATAAAAAGACTAGTTACAGACCTGGAGAAACTATTTGCAAACTACATCTGACAAATGGCTTATATATGAAAAGAACTTTGAAAAGTCACCAGTAAAAAGGCAAACAAGCAGCCACTCTGGGCTGAGGCAGGAGGATTGCAAGTTCAAGGCCAGCCTGGGCAATCTAACCATACTCTGTATTTAAAATTTTAAAAAGGATGGGAGTGTAGCTCAGTGGTGGAGTACTTGCCTAACACGTGCAAGGCCCTAGATTTGACTCCCATCACCACAGAAATAACAACAACAACAAAAAAAAAAAACCCATCTTTCAGAAAATGGGCAAAAGATAAGAAACAGAGGATATATGAATGACAAGTAATTAAGCACATGAAAAAATATTCAACGTCTTAGCCATAAAGAAATAACAAATAAAATAATGATGAGTTATCGTCGTTTGCATGTACCTGATGAAAACAACTAAGTAACAAAAGCAAAAACTAATGCCAACATCAAATGCTCCTGAGGATATAGAGAAACTATATCTCATACTTCGCTAGTGAAGGTAGTACATAGCAGCTACTCTGGAAAAATTTAATGATTATATACACTTAAGATGTGACTCAGGGCTGGAGATGTGGCTCAGTGGTAGAGCATTTGCCTAGCTTGTGTGAGGCACTGGGTTCGATTCTCAGCACCGCATATAAATAAATAAATAAAATAAAGGTCCATCAACAGCTAATAAAAATATTTTTTTAAAAAAGATGTGGCTCAAAAATAACATTCCTGGATATTTATCTCAGAGAAATGAAAACATGTCCAACCAGAAATCTGTACATGAATGTTCATAGAACTTTATCTGTAATTGCCAAGAACTGGAAACAACTCAAGTGTCTTTACATTGGGAAATAATTAAATGAATTGTGGCATATCTACACCACAGAATACTGCTCAGCAATTAAATGTGACAGACTCATATTACATGAACAACTTGGATAGGATCTCTAGGATATTATGCTGAAAAAATGATAAATGCCAATTTCAAAAGGTAGTGTATTGTGTCATTTCTATTTATATAACCTTCTGAAGAATGATAAAATTTTAGACAAGAAAAACTGGTAATTGGCCCTAGTTCAGGGACTGTGGGAGTGGTGATGATTTGCAGTTCTCTGCTTGTTGGTGGTGATTATGAAAATCTCTTAAGTGATAAAATTGCAGAGAACTATGTATGCACACATATACAAGTAAGTTCATAGTGAAAAAAAAGTCTGAATAATTCTGTAGATTGTACTAGTGTTAATTTCCTGGTTTTGCTATTCTGCTAGGATTTTATAAGATATTATCATTGGGGTGAATATACTATGTATACAACCAGAGGTACAAAAAATTGTGCTCTATATGTGTAATAAGAATTGTAATGCATTCTGCTGTCATATATTTAAAATATTATTTTATATATATATATATATGTGTGTGTGTGTGTGTGTGTATATATATATATATATATATATATATATATATATATATATATAAAAAACCATTGGGAAAAGCTGGGTAAGATGCTCAGGACTTTTCTCTACTGCTTTTATAACTTCCTCTAAGGCTATGATTATATTTTAAAATTACAGTTAAAAAAATGTTAGTTGGAAAGAACAGAGAAATTGTTAGTGGGAGAGATGTGGAGTTGTGGGTAGAGTTTATTTTTGCTTTTAAAAAAAAGACTTCTGGGCATTCTGATGCATACCTGTAATCCCAGCCACTCAGCAGGCTGAGGCAGGAGGATCACAAGTTTGAGGCCATCCTCAGCAATTTAAAAATTCCATGTCTCAAATAAAAAGGACTGGAGAGGTGGCTCAGTGATGAAGAGCGATTGGTGGTAAGAATGATGATCCATAGAAGAGAAAGAATTTGGTAATGAAAATGAGAGGGCATCATAACTGGAGCAAAACATATATTAAACCTTTGACATGAAGGCATTATATAATAATGAAAATGCTATTTACCTATATCTTTCACTATTTATAAATGAAGTTATCTTTACAACTTTTTGTAAATGATCCTAAATGTCATGTTGTTGTCCTTAAATGTTCCTAAAATTCCACATGCTTTTATGTTACATTATAAAATTAAATGGTTAAATAAGATGGAATTCCAAGAATTTTTATGGTGCTTGCTGGTATATATTAAATAACTTCCAGAGTTTTATTTATCTCTTTCTACTGTTTTCCCTTCTAGATTTTCATTCACTATGGTTAACTCGTTAACTTCCTTCAACTAAAAGGTGTTTATATATATATATGTATATATATGAGAAAAACCATATTGTTTGACAATTAAGACTTAAATGAGTGTTTGTTCTGTTTTGGCTTTGTGGTAGATCATGGATTTTCAGGTTTTTTTTTTTTTTTTTTTTTTTTTTTTTTTTTTTGCTTGCTTGCTTGTTTTTTTTTTTTTGTGTGTGTGTGTATGTTCATTTTGAGCAGGGGTTTCCCTGTGCCCAGGCTGCTCTCTCAGACTTCTGGACTCCAGCCATCTTCCTGCCTCCCGGACTCCAGAGTAGCTAGGACTACAAGCACATTCAGTTGTGCCTGACTACATAGAGTATTTTAATCTCTATTTTACCAAACTATTCTACTGTTTGTCCTTTATCTGTAATGTAGTAATATCAAATGCTTAATAAAATTATTGACGTTTATTTCAGGGATACAGCAGGCCAGGAGCGATTTCACACCATCACAACCTCCTACTACAGAGGAGCAATGGGTATCATGCTAGTATATGACATCACCAATGGTAAAAGTTTTGAAAACATCAGCAAATGGCTTAGAAACATAGATGAGGTAAGACCTAGAAATCGTATAAATGCTTCCATCTTAAACTTTTGGCCATTCTATCTAAAGCCCCATCCAAGGCAAAATTACTAGTTTATCCAGAAACTGTATGGCTATCTTATAAGATGGCCCCAAATAGAAACAGCCAGTGCTGTTCTACAATGCTTGTCTCTGAATGAAAATTTTTCCAGTGATCCCCCCCCCCCCCCCCCGCCACTTCTCAGAACTGGGGACATTAAACCCAGGGGCACTTTAGCACTTTTTTTTGTTTGTTTGTTTTTAAACCTTTTAATACTATCTTGCTAAGTTGCCCATCTAGTGTCAAACTTGCATCCTCCAGCCTCATCTTTCTGAGCAGCTGGAATTACAAGCATGTGCCACCATACCTGGCTTCAATTTTTTTTTTTTTTGTAATAGTGGGGATCAATCCCAGGCTTCATGTATGCCAGGCAAAGTTCTCTGCCACTGAACTAGATTCCCAGCCCTAGCAATTTTAAAAATTATTTTTAAGTTGTGGAAATGTTATATTGTTTCTAGGCATTTAAAAATACACAGAGGGGCTGGGGATGTGGCTCAAGCGGTAGCGCTCTCGCCTGCCATGCGTGCGGCCCGGGTTCGATCCTCAGCACCACATACAAAGATGTTATGTCCGCCAATAACTAAAAAATAAATATTAAAAATTCTCTCTCTCTCTCCTCTCTCTTAAAAAAAATAAATAAAAAAAAATAAAAATACACAGAGTACTAATACTGTAAAAATCTTAACAGAAAATAATGCCATTTCATTGCATGTGAAGATACCTATTTTTTATAAAGTAAATTTATAAAAGCATATCTGTTCATTCTACAGCTTAGATGGCTTCTTTTTGGAATTATTGCTGCCTCCTAGCATTTGAATTTCACTATAACTAACTCTTTAAAGCACACTTGGACTGAATTCTCAATTACCTTAACTACTTTGGCTATAGAGATGTTCACAAAGAGGTGCTTTGGGCTAAAGGCCTCAGCTTTAGACAACTCCTTAGGAAACTTAGTTTCATGTTTTAGCTCCAATTTTTATAACATATGCTTTAAAAAATTTTTTTGACAGTCTTATTACTATTTGCATATTAAAACAACTTTGATGTTTATATTTGTAAACATACCTTGGTTTTTTTAATGTTTTCATGGTTAATTACTGAATTTAAATATCCTTTGAAGTTACTTGGCACCTCTAATTTATTTAATAGCGATGGACAGTGTTTTCTATTCAAACTAGGGGCAGTTTTACCTTTAAGAGAACACTTGATGATATGTGGAAATATTTTTGGCTGCCACAACTGGGGCACAAGAAGAATGTTACTTGAATCAAATAGGTAGAAGCCAGGGATGCTGCTAAACATCCTACAACGGACAGAACAAACCTCTTGAATTATCTGGCCCAGAATGTCAGTTGTACTGAAGTTGAGAGACCCCCTGATATCTAAACTCATCTCTTTGTATTATTATCTTAGGAAATAAGTTGATTTTTAAGCTAGTTATAATCTGGTTGTGTAATATATATGAATAGACATGTTTGTGCTCCTCATAAACATGTCTCTGTGGGTGTGTCTATGTGGTGCATCTACCAATTTGTCTTTGTGTGGTTTTGCCTGATATGATTGTATAGGTTTTGTGCATTTCAATGAAAAATATTTAAATGCTTATTGGCATAAGAAACGTATGAAAAAAGTCCTGTATAGTCGGAATGATATGGTTCCCAGTTTTTTTTTTTTTTTTTTTTTTTTAAAGAGAGAGAGATATAGACAGAGAGAGAGAGGGAGAGAATTTTAGTATTTATTTTTTAGTTTTCGGCATACACAACATCTTTGTTTGTATGTGGTGCTGAGGATCGAACCTGGGCTTGCACGCATGCCAGATGAGCGCGCTACTGCTTGAGCCACATCCCCAACCCCTGGTTCCCAGTTTGGCAGTGAAGCCTACATTAACCTCATGGTGCTTGATGCATTAGTATTGCTGTAATCTTAGCTGTAAAGGTTTGTTCAATGCTGTTTTGAACTTTTAAGTTCTTGTGTTTGTTATTTAGAGAAGAATATTCCATCTGTTTTTTAGGTTTTTTCTTTTTTTAATTTTTTTTTTTTTTAGGTGTAGATGGACACAGCACAATGCCTTTAATTTTATGTGGTGCTGAGGATCAAACCCAGGTCCCACCCGTGCTAGATGGGCGCTCCAACGCTGAGCCACAATCCCAGTCCCTTAGGTTTTTTCTTAGCCTCACTTCAGATCTCTTTTTTCACTATGTAAAAGGAACAATAATTAGGGGAAAAAATGTGAGCCAAGAAAATACTTAGTTTCCTAGACTAGTAGGAATGTGTTATTATTTAATGAACTTAAAAATATATCTTTCTTGGATAATGTTAATAGTTTTTCATTTCTGAATTTGAAAACATAACCTTTTTTAAAAAGATGGGGAAGGGCATGCTGGCACACACCCATGATCCCAGTGACATAGGAGACTAAGGCAATAGGATGGCAAGTTCAAGGTCAGCCCCTTAGTGAAACCCTTTCTCAAGCTAAAAATAAGTAAATAAAAAAGCCTGGGGATGTGGCTCAGTGATAAAGTGCCCCTGGGTTCAACCCCCGGTACCAAAAAAAAGTAGTTAAGGAGCCAAGAACTAATAAGTAAGTTCTGTTACTAAAATATAATACTTTAGTAACACTTTGGGTTTTTTTTTAATATAATACTTTGAAAAGAATTTCTGATAATTACAACATCTAGCTAAGTCATAACATGTTATATAAAATTCAGTGCCTTGCTTATATAGGTTGCTAGTCATACTAAGAATAAACACCATTAATGCAACAGAAGCTTTTTAACTTCCTAGTGAAATTTTTAACAATAAGTATTGGGGGGACTGGGGTTGTGGCTCAGCGATAGAACACTTGTTTTGCACGCGCAGGACCCTGGGTTTGATCCTCAGCACCATGTAAAAAATAAATGAGTGAAATAAAGGTATTGTGAATAAAAAAAAAAAAAAAATAAGTACAAATGAGTCAATATAAATGCAATTCCAAATTTCCTGTCTGTGTGTGTGTGTGTGGGGGGGGAAGCATATGCACCAATTCTAAAGAGAAAGGAATGGTTTAGAAGTCTTCCAGATCATTGCTAATGGTTTTAATGACAACTGAATTGGACCTAATTTGAACTTTCCCCCCATGCCCTCTTTGGGTAAGAGGTTCCTAACCCCATCAGGAAGCAAGGCTAATAAATAAGTGGTTGAAAAGGAACTTGTACAGCAAGTCTGGGCACAGGCTAGTCCATTTTAATTTCCGCTAGAACCTGAAGGAAACTCACCCTGATCCCAGGATGTGATCACCACTGTCTTTTATGGAATGGTGTTGCTCTGGGACTGACGTTGACAGTTTAGGGCTCTAAGGTCTAATTTTTTTCAGGTTTACTTTCAAATATGTTTTTAAGCTCCTAAACATTTACACTGTAGAATTTTACCATTTCCTCATTATCCTTAGAATAGTAACGTATATGGTTATGGGGATATGTTATGCTATAAATTGGTGGTCAAGTTACCAAAGCTTTGTTATTTTTTTTAAACCAGGCTCAAAATACCTTAACTCTTCTGTTTACATTTAATGGAATTTTACCCTTTTTGATCTTTATTGATCATTTATTGCCTTCCTTCCATTGGCTTACTTATGCCTTAACTTAAGAGTGTCCTTAGTAGAATAGCCTTTAAAGCTATACGTAATCAAACTGTCTTCTGTTTTAGTGGAAGTTCACATTAATGTCTTGGAAACTCGACTCTTTGAAGTGATCAGTTATTGATTATTTCAGGTGATGTGTTTATTTAGAATTCTTGAAGCCCCTGAAGTACATCCACAGATTCCAAATGAAGAGTGCCTCTTAACAATTTTAGCACGTTGCACTTGGTGTATTGTTGGTTGTTAGTGGACATTTGCCAAAGTTGCCTTTGTTTTAGCAGTAACATGAATTAGGAGATACTGAGTTAAGATAAGACCATAGAATCCCTAAATCGTTTCTTTATAATATTTTATATTATTAATTTCTTTCTAACCTTAGATATGCTGTCTTACGTTATGAAGTAACTGAACTGCAGTCATTTGGTGTTTTTTTGTTTTTAAACACTTTTTTTAGGCCTGGGAACGGAGCTCAGCGGTAGACCACATGCTTACATGTACAAGGCCCTACCTTCAATCCTCAGAACCATAAAAACAACCAATCACACAACCTACTTTTATTGTGGTTGATATATATAATCATTTTTTGATAACAAGTTCATTGGTATTAACAATAGATTTTACTGTTGTTCAGCTATCGACATCTTCTCTAGAATTTTTTCATCTTCCTAAACTAATATCTATTAAACAATAACTCCCCTTTTTCCCAGCCCCTGTCATTTTCTTCTCTGCCTCAACTATTACAGGTACCTCATATAAGTGGAGTCCTACAGCATTTATTCTTTTGTAACCAGTTAATTTCATTTACCATAAAGCCTTGAAGGTTCATCTGTATTGTGATATGTGTCAGAATTCAATATTCCATTGAATGTGTGTGTGTGTCACATTTTGTTTATTCGTTCATCTTTGGATGCTTGGATCATTTCTACTCTTTCACTTTTGTGAATAATGCTACTATGAACATTGGTGTACACATCTCTGCTTTGGTCCCTGCTTTAAATTCTTTTGGTTATATACCTAGAAGTGGAATTGCTGGATCATTTGGTGATTCTTCGTTTAACTTTTTGAGGAACTGCCAAACTGTTTCCCACAGTGGTAGTAGCATTTTATATTCCCCATCAAGAATGAATATAGATTTTAGGGGATGGGTTGTGGCTCAGAGGTAGAGCACTTGCCTAGCATGTGTGAGGCACTGGGTTTGATTTCTTAGCACCACATATAAATAAATGAATTTTTTAAAAAAGTACATCAACATCTAAGAATATATTTTTAAAAAAGAATAAATATAGATTTTAATTTCTCCACATCCCTGTCACCACTTGTTTTCTTTTCTTTGTTTCTTTTTTTTTTTTTTTAATTATTAACACTTCATTTCTGTTGTTCTTTTTAAATACTGTACTAAATGGCATCTCATTGTGGTTTTGGTTTGCGTTTGCCTAATGATTATTGATATTAAGCCTCTTTTCATGTGCTTATTGTTCATTTTTTTTCTTTTTGTTTTAGACATTGATGGACCTTTATTTTATTGATTTATTTATATGTGGTACTGAGAATTGAACCCAGTGCCTCACACATGCTAGGCAAGTGCTTTACCACTGAGCCACAACCTCAGCCTTATCCCCCCCTGCCCCCCTGTACTTGGGATTAAACCCAGAAGTGCTTTACCACTGAGCCACATCCAGAGCCTTTTAAAAAAAAAATTTTTAGGTGTAGATGGACACAACACAATGCCTTTTTATTTTTATGTGGTGCTGAGGATTGAACCCAGGTCCCGCCCGTGCTAGGGGAGAGCTCTACAGCTGAGCCACAATCCCAGCCCCTCCAGAGCCCTTTTTATGTTTTATTTTGAGACAGGGTCTCACTAAGTTGAGCAGGGGCTTACTAAATTTCTGAGGCTGGCCTTTAACTTGCAGTCCTCCTTTCCTAGGCCTCCCAAGTCTCTGGGATTACAGACATATACCACCGCTTCCAGCTGTTTATCTTTTTTTAAGAAATGTCTGTGCAGGTTTTTTGCTTATTTTGTTTTGTTTTATTTTATTGTATTTGCTACTGCGGAATGAACCTAGGGGCACTTAACTACTGAGCCACATTCTCAGCTGTTTTTTGTATTTTATTTAGTGACAGGATATTGCAAAGTTGCTTAGTGCCTCACTAAGTTGCTAAGGCTGACTTTGAACTCGCAGTCCTCCTGCCTCAGACTACCAAACTGCAGGGATTGCAGGTGTTGCCACTGTGCCCAGCTTTGCTTATTTTTTTAATTGGGTTGGTTTTTGTTGTTGAATTTTTTAGATACTAATCTCTTATCAAATGTATGATTTGCAAATATTTTCTCCTTTTACTGGTTGTCTTTTCACTGCCTTGATGGATACTTTGTTGTGCCGAAGCTATTAGTGTGTATGTTTGCCTTTATGCCAATACCACACAGTCTTGAAATCGGGGATTTAGTGAGAGAGAGAGAGAGAGAGTGTGTGTATGTGTGTGTGTGTGTGTGTGTGTGTGTGTTGGGGATTGAACCCAGTGCCTCACTGAGCACATGCTCTGCCACTGAGCTTCATTGCAGCCCTATATATATGTATTTTTTTAAAGTTAAAAAATTTGGCTCTTTAAATTACCCTGACAATTATTACAGTTTTAAAATAATGGGTTTCATTGTAGCATATTTACAGTATTTTAATTTATACATGTATATATATATTTTTTCTCATTGTGGGCTATTTGAAGCCCTTTTAGATTCCATATGAATTTTAGGATGGATCTTTCTATTTTGCAGGGGAAATAGCGTTGTGATTTCAGTGGGGGTGACCTTTTGTTTTTAATTGATTTTACTGTGTGGGAGCTTCTTGTAATCCACTTTAAGGATTCCATAAAATTTTAAATTAGAACTTTTATAAGGTAGTATGTATTATAAAATCTAATATCATGATCCAGCTTGGGTTTAGATTATGTATAGGATTTCCAGTAACACAGTTTTGCCTGTGTCACCTTTTTTGTTGAGACTATATCTAGAAAGTAGACAGCCTCCTCTAGGGGGAAATAACATTTGGCATGGATATTTCTTAGGAATTGTATCTCTTTTGCTAGGTAATTTTAAGAGTTTGTGTAGGCTTTTAACAAATTTTAGGGTAATTTCTTTAAAACTTTTATATTATGAAAATGATACTAATTGAGAAAAATAAAGTCATGTTTGGAAAATATCAAGTCATGATTCATGTAGTGTGTAAAAGTAGAATTTCATTTCATTTTAGCACGCCAATGAAGATGTGGAAAGAATGTTACTAGGAAACAAATGTGATATGGACGATAAAAGAGTTGTACCTAAAGGCAAAGGAGAACAGGTAAGAGTCTTTTATTGAAATTGACGTATTCTTCTTTTCTTTTTTTTGCAATACTGTGGATTGAGCCCAGGTGTAATCTACCACTGAGCTACACCCAGCACTTTATTTACTTGTTTGTTTTGTGTTTTCCTTTTTGGAACCGGGGATTAACTCAGGACTTTGTGCATGGAAGGCAAGTTACATCCCAGCCCTTTTATTTTATTTTGAGATAGGGTCTCTGTAAGTTGGCTAGGCTGGCCTCAAACTTGTGATCCTCTTGCTTCAGCCTCCTGAGTCATTAGGATTACAGGCATGCGCCACCATGCTTAGCAATGCTGACCTTTCATTGTGGAGATAATTCTGTATTTGATTGTCTTGATTCTGGTGGTGATGGAGTACACTAAGCTAGTCACATAGTTTTTAAAATGCTTGTTGAAAACAGTAGCTTATCTTTTGAGTGAATATTTTTCAGTACATATCCAACATATATAGGATAATCAGATCTGTGGCTATCGCATTTTTAACTTTGTTTAAGCTATAGAAGGAAAAATACAAATCAAGAATTCTTAGTTTTTCATCTTAGCACTTTAAAGAAATGTATTAATTAGTGTGATTCCAAAGTTTGAAAATCAAAAGCCTATATGTGTGGGGGAAGTAGGGAAAGTAGTTTAAGTCACACAGACTTTCTAATTTAAGTTTGCTCCTAGAGTGAAATATATGATTTAGAATATCTGAAATAAATTCTTGGGGTAAGAAGAGGGTTATTTTGATTACTTCTATTTTGTTTGTTTTTTGAAAGAGTTTGACTCATTAAAATAATCTGCTTTATATGCTCTATCTGAGACTCTTGTCTTCAGAATAAAATTAGTATTTTCTAAGATGTTACATCAGTTGATGTTGTAACCACTTGACAACCCATATGTGATAATTTTACAATGCTATTTTGCTTCTATTTTAGATTGCAAGGGAGCATGGTATTAGATTTTTTGAGACTAGTGCAAAAGCAAATATAAACATTGAAAAGGCGTTCCTCACATTAGCTGAAGATATCCTTCGAAAGGTAAGTTCTATTTATTTATTTATTTATTTTTAGTTGTTGATGGTCCTTTATTTTATTATTTATATGTGGTGCTGGGAATCGAATGCAGTGCCTCACATGTACAAGGCAAACACTCTACCTCTGAGCTACAATTCCAGCCCCTAAGTTCCTATTTTTACTTTGCTGGGTGTCTCAATGGAATATTTTTTAAATAAGATTATTTAATTTTATTTATTTATTTATTTTTAAGTGGTGCTGAGGATCAAACCCAGTGCCTCATGCATTCGAGGCAAGCACTCTACCACTGAGCTACAACCCAGCCCCTCTTATCTTTTCAAAAATACTGATTTATGTGCAAAATTTGGGTTTGGGTGGTATTTTTTCCTGTACCCATTATCCTCTGAAGGGAAGTAAGGAATTTCTAGCTAGATTGCTAAAAGCCATTAGCAATCTGACAGATCTAGTCAGAACCAACAGTTGCTATCTGAGCTCTCATAGCTACTCTCCTATCCCCGGGTTCATATTTCCAGCTTTGTGTGTGTGCGCACATGCATGTGCACTGGAAACCAAACCCAGGGTTTGCTAGGCAAGCACTACTACTGAACAACACCCCCAGCCTAGCCCCTTGATTCAACTTTTTCACTCTTGAACTTGTTTCTTTCTTTTATGTGCACCCTCTTTCTCTTTCTCACCCTCCCCCAGTACTAGGGATTGAACCCAGGAATTTTTAGCACACAGCTATATTTCCAGCCCTTTTTATTTTCTATTTTGAGACAGGGTCTCACTAAATTGCCCAGGCTGGCCTCAAACTTGCATCCTACTAACCCAGCTGGAATACAAGCATGGGAGCTATCTATGCCCAAGTGGATTTGTTTCTCTTAATGGATCCTTTGTATTGCTATTGATAATTCAAGATAAGAAGTGAATCTAAAGTGATACATACACAACAGCTCAGGAGGCTGAGGGGAGGATTGAAAGTTTGAGGCCAGTCTGAGCAAAGTAGTAAGACCTGTCTCAAAACAAAAATTTTATAAAGGACTGGGGATTAGTTCAGTGATGGAACACCCCTGTGTCCAATTTTTTTCACCAAACAATCTAAAAAAAAAATTATTTAACAAGTAGGTAAAGATAAAACCTGTTAGAATTCCTTGAAGGTGTAAATTAAATTTGAAAAAGTAGAGTAGAAAAATACTACGTTGGCTAGGGAAAACAGATATTTAAAATAAAGACAATAAAAGCAGCAGAAAAATGTTTTTTCTTAATCAGTGGAAGATAACTTGGTATTTCAGAGATTGATGGGTAAGGATGAAAAATTACAGTCCAGGCTAGATAGGCAGAATATGACTGAAAGGAGTCATCACACAAGTTACTGGAATACCCTTGTTTCTGGGCATTTTGGTCTTCCTAATTTCTTCCTGTCTGTACTATGAAATTTGATCTTCTTGGCATTTCTTTGAATAGTATTATATTATCATTATATAATTTGTGTTCTGTTGAGGAAGAGCTTCCTTATTATCATATAAAAGTTAAGGTATAGATAGAGGCATAAAGATCTCAGACTAGCCATGCACAGTAGCAGACACACCTGTATAATCCTAGAGACTTGGGAGGCTAAGGCAGGAGGATCCCAAGCTTAAAACCAACCTCAGCAACTTAGTGAAGCCCTAGGTAACTTAGCAAGACCCTCTCTCAAAAAGGGTTGGGGATGTGGCTCAGTGGTTAAGCACTGCTAAATTCAGTCCCCAGTTGGGGATGGGGGATCAGGTAGCTTTTTGTTCTCTTCTCTTCTCTTCTCTTCTCTTCTCTTCTCTTCTCTTCTCTTCTCTTCTCTTCTCTTCTCTTTCTTTCTTTTATTTTTTAAATACATGACAGAGGAATGCATCACAGTTCTTATTACACATATAGAAACACAATTTTTCATATCTATGTATATGAAGTATGTTCACACCAATTTATGTCTTTATACATGTACTTTGGATAATGATGACTATCACATTCCACCATCATTGCCAACCCCCTGCACCTTCCCTTCCCCTCCCACCCCTCTGCCCTATCTAGAGTTCGTCTGTTCTTCCCATGCTCCCTCTCCTTGCCCACTATGAGTCAGTCACCTTATATCAGAGAAAATATTCGCCATTTGTTTTTTTGGGGGGATTGGCTAACTTCACTTAGCATTATCTTCTCCAGCTACATCCATTTACCTGCAAATGCCATGATTTTATTCTCTTTTATTGCTGAGTAATATTCCATTGTGTATATATGCCACATTTTTTAATCCATTCATCTACTGAAGAGCATCTAGGTTGTTTCCATAGTTTAGCTATTGTGAATTGTGCTGCTGTAAACATTGATGTGGCTGTGTCTCTGTAGTATGCTGTTTTTAAGTCCTTTGGGTATAAACCAAAGAGAGGGATAGCTGGGTCAAATGGTGGTTCCATTCCTAGTTTTCCAAGGAATCCATACTGCTTTCCATATTGGCTGCACCAATTTGCAGTCCCACCAGCAATGTATGAGTGTGCCTTTTCCCCCACATCCTTGCCAACGCTTATTATTGTTTGTCTTCATAATAGCTGCCATTCTGAATGGAGTGAGATGGTATCTTAGAGTAGTTTTGATTTGCATTTCTCTAATTGCTGTTTTTGTTCATACATATTCTTTGCAATAAAGTTATGTGTTAAAACATCAAATGTAATTTTGCTTCACATTAGAATTAAGTTTAGATTGAAAGCAATTTAAAGTATTTTAACCTTGTGGTGTGCGATGGCACATGCCTGTAATCTCTGCAATTTGGGAGGCTGAGACAGAAGGATCACTGGTTCAGAGCCAGCCTCAGCAATGTCAAGGAGCTAAATAACTCAGTGAGTCCCTGTCTCTAAGTAAAATACGTACGAAATAGGGCTGGGGGTGAGGCTGAGTGGCTGAGTGCCCCCCAGTTCAATCCCTAGTACCCCCCCCCCCCAATTTAAACTTGGGACCTGGGTTGTGGCTCAGTGGTAGAGCTCTCACCTAGCATATGTGAAGCACTGGATTTGATCCCCAGTACCACATAAAAAAACTAAGGTATTATGTCCATCTATAACTAAAAATATTTTTAAAAAATATATATTTTAAACTATTTGAATAGGTAATTCATTTCCAAGGTTCAAACATTTAAAATAATAAGTAAAAAGTGGTGGTATATAACTTTAATCCCAAAACTCATAGGTTCACAAGTTCAAGACCCCCACCTGAGCGATTTATCAAGATCCTATCGTAAAATAAAAAGGGCTGGGGGTATAGTTCAGTTGTTGAGCTCCCCTGGGTTCAATCCCCAGTAATGCACTGTGTGTTGGGGGGGGTAATATTTAGATATTGGGAAAATACAGGATGATACAGAAAAGAAAGAAAATCACCCAGGAATCTACCACGTATGAATTTTACTGGTAACATTTTGGTGTATGTCCTTTGAATTTTTTTCTGTATCCATTTCCCACCTGAATCACGTAACTTTGCATTTTGCTCCTTCACTTTTAATATTAGCTGAGATTGCCTTTTTAAAACAATGAAACAGTACTATAGGCTGCAGCCTAAAAAAGGCAGAGATAATAATAGGAGCTGGGGATATATATAGCTCAGTCAGTAGAGTGCTTGCCTCACATACACAAGACCATGGGTTCAATCCCCAGTGCCACCAGGAAAAAAAAGGCAAATAATAATTAAACAGAAAAGAGTCATTTCATATCTCTAAAGTTAGATGTGATCCAACATTGTTTTATACAGTTTGCTTTATAATTTTGTTTGTTTGTTTGGTTTGTGAATGTGTGTTTTTCGGGTACCTGGGAATGAACCCAAGGGCACTTAACTACTGAGCCACGCCACAGCCCTTTTTTAGTTTCTATTTTGAGATGGGGTCTCACTGAGTTGTGTAGGGCCTAGCTTGCTGAGATTGGCTTTGAATTTACAATCCTCCTGCCTCAGCCTTCTGAGCCACTGGGATTGCAGGTGTGTGCCATTGCACCAAGCTTTTTTTTTTTTTTTTTTTTTTTTTGAGAGAGAGAGAGAGGCTCTAAATTTACTAAATGTACTGAGGTAGGGCTAGGAGATAACAAAATTTATTGAAAAGAGGGCAGAGATGATTTCAGAAACTATAGTAAAAGTTGCCAGGAAATATCTGTAAGATTTTATAGCTTGGAGGAAGCAGACTAAATAAAGACCAAAACCATGGCCTCCAATCTTGACTTTGCATAGGGGAAGAAACATTTCATGTTAGTATAATTGCCTTTTGTTGCATGAATTGACATTAAATCTTGATTTCTCCATGGCAATATTTATTCATGGTTACTTTTCTTGTGTGTTTGTTCCAGACCCCGGTAAAAGAGCCCAACAGTGAAAATGTAGATATCAGCAGTGGAGGAGGTGTGACAGGCTGGAAGAGCAAATGTTGCTGAGCGTTCTCCTGTTCTACCCGTTGCCATCCACCACCCGTTTCTCTTCTTGCTGCAAAATAAACCACTCTGTCCATTTTTAACTCTGTTAAACAGATATTTTTGTTCTCATCATTATAACTATCCAAACCACCTATTTTATTTGTTCTTTCATCTGTGACTGCTTGCTGACTTTATTATAATTTTCTTTAAACAAAAAAATGTATAGAAAAATCATGTCTGTGACTTCATTTTTAAATGTACTTGCTCAGCTCACCACTGCATTTCAGTTGTATTATAGTCCAGTTCTTATCAACATTAAAACCTATAGCAATCATTTCAACTCTATTCTACAAATTGTATAAGAATAAAAGTTAGAATTAACAATTTTATTTTGTACAACAGTGGAATTTTCTGTCATGGATAATGTGCTTGAGTCCCTATAATCTATAGACATGTGATAGCAAAAGAAACAAAAGCCAGGAAAACACTCATTTTCACCTTGAATATGTAAATGGGGTTAATTTTGTCCTGTGCCTTATGTGGAAAGGAACTTATTTGGGTTTTCCTTTTTTTGTTTTGGTGGAAGCATGTGCAGGAGACATATCATCCAAATATAAACCATTAAGATGTTTGTGGTTTGCTTGGCTATAATTTTCACAGTAGTTAATTGAGGACAAAGGGTAATGCAGAAGTGATAGCTTTGGTTTGCTGAGTCTCATTTTCAGTGGCCTTGTTATTTAAAACTTTTCCTGCTGCCAATTCTTCTCCTTGGCCACTTTTTTTCCTTGTGTCTCATCTTCCTGCATGCTGCTTTATTTGCTTTTCCTCCCCTACCACCTCATGGTATGAGTTATTTAAAAATGAAAGGGGCAAACTAGTAGGTTTGTCAAGTTTTACATAAAGCACTGATGTAACTTGCTAAGTAAACTGAAAGATAAATTCTAACTGCCTACTATCAAAGATCACTTAATTGCTGTCTTCCTCTCATATACTCTTCCCTAAAACCTCTGTCCCAGATTTCTTCATTGGCTGTTTTACTTCTATGTACCTCTTCTTCCATTGTTCTCTTCCTGTCTGTCCATTGAGTTTATGAAATGGAAGAGTTAATTGCATGCACTAGTGTTTGGAGGGTGTTGTGGTTTGTCTAATTAGGTGTATATCCTATTCACTTTCCTAGAATAACTCTCTTAATCTAAATTTGAGAAGTCTCCATGTTTGGCAACTCCTCTGGCAGTTTGGTAGCCCAGTAAAGATTTAAAAAAAAGGAAAGAGGAGTGGATTTTATTAACATGTTTGCCAAATGTGTTGAGATTTGGCCTCTGAAGAACACTTTTTCAGTGTTAAGTTGTCTTTACCTTAAGATTTAGACATACTTTAGAATATTATTAATTTGAGTCTTATGGTCACATCCTCTTAGAAAACTTGTATTACCATGGGTTTAGAAAAAGGACAACAAAAGGCTTCTCGTGTAAAGATAAGATCTCTAGCTGTTTCTAACCCTGTCCTTTCTTCACTTCATCTTTTCTAGTTTGGCTTCATTGCTTATCATTAGGATAGGGTAGGTTAAGTTTGCTATGCTGCTAGCATCCTAAGATGATACCTTTGTTGGAATAATTGTGAATAGCATGATTCATTTCGAGCAGAGGCTGAGTTTAGGACAGCAGCTTCCATTGAAAGTCTTTCTGTGTCATGACACGCATTTTAATGACCTCTTGGCTCACATAAACAACAACATAGGGACTTATCTGCAATGAAAATCCATGAATTTTTCAGATAGTGCCCTAAAAACAATTTTATATGCCTCATTCGTTGGTTGTTGTTGTTAGGTTTTTTCCCTCACTTGACTTTATCATTGTTTACTAGTAAAAAGCAGCATTGCCAAATAATCCCTAATTTTTCACTTAAAAATGATGAAATGATGTTACAGCTTTTTTGAAAAGTTTTAGGTTAAACCTATTGTTGTTAGGTTAATGTATTGGTTGCTTCCCTTTATCTGGAATGTGGCAGTAGCTTTTTTACTTTTAACCCTCTTTAATCTTTATTCAATTCAGTGACTTAAGGTTTGAGAGCTAAACACTGGGATTTTTGGGTAACAGACTGACAGTTTATTGTTTGCATAATTATATTTGGCATTGTACATAGAAAGGATATGGCTACCTTTTGTTAAATCTGCACTTTCTAAATATCAAAAAAAAAGGGAAATGGAGTATAAATCAATTTTTGTATAATCTGTTTGAAACATGAGTTTATTTGCTCAATATTAGGGCTTTGCCCCTTTTCTGTAAGTCTCTTGGGATCCTATGTAGAAGCTGTTCTCATTAAACACCAAACAGTTAAGTCCATTCTCTGGTACTAGCTACAAATTCGGTTTCATATTCTACTTAACAATTTAAATAAACTGAAATATTTCTAGATGGCCTACTTCTGTTCATATAAAAACAAAACTTGATTTCCAACTGTGTGATTTGGTTTTCATTTATTTATGGAGGTGGAGATGGAAGATTTCTTCTGAAAACAATGCAGAATACCGAACTAAATATTGAGGGACAAAAATAGAAGGGAAATTTTTGCAGTGTATGGAAAATGGGAAGGTAATTTCAAGAATGTCTTTGTGAAGAACTATGTTAAAAAACAGAAGGATCACTAGGACAGTAAAGCCCAATATCTGGTATAAAGTAGCAGATGCTGTGTAGTCCTAAGCACCTCCAATTAAGTCTAGTTGAATGTGCCAAAGGCCAGCTGCAGAAGTCAGTTGGTAGATAACCCAGGACACCAAGGTTAGTTCACCATACTAGAGAGAGATTGCATCCTTATTTTAGCAGAGACTGTCCTCTTATCTGAAAATGGGAAGTTTTTCATACTTTGTGATCCAAAGCAACAGCTTTGACTGTATATATTGGCAAAAGAAATATTTAATTCTATATTAAGGCCCTCTCAGTTGATATTTGTTAAATCATCTCTGCTGGAAGGATGACACTTAGATGTTTTCTTAAACAGTATTTATTTTGGTGATACTGGAGGATTTAACCCAGGGGTACTTTACCATTGAGTTACACTCACAACCCTTTTTGTCATTTGAGACAGGCTTCGCTAGGTTTTCCAGGCCTCAAATTTGAAGTCCTTTTGCCTCAGCTTCCTGAGTAGCTGAAATTATAAGTGCACCACCATGTCTGGCTTAAACTTTATAAGAATCACCTAGATCTGGGAGTGATGGCTTACACCTGTTATCCCAGCAACTTGAGAGGCCAAGTCTGGAGGATCACACGTTCAAGTTCAGCCTGAGCGATTTGGCAAGCTCCTGTGTCAAAATAGAAAATAAAAAGGGATGGGGATGTAACTCGGTGGTAAAGTGCTCCTGGGTTCAATTCCCCGACTTCCCGCCCAAACAAAACCTAGAATGTTTTTCATGGTGTCTTGTACCTACCCCCCACGTGTTTGTTGTGTGTCTAGGGTGAGGCATATAATCCTGCCTTTGGTATAGGAAAAATAGGATATGGTCTTTGCCTTCAGATATATGATCTGGCTTAGAAAGCAAAAGTAAGTAATTAGGTAAGCATATGTAAGAGCCAAATAGTTGTGATCTGATTTTAAATGTGTTATTAGTAAGTTCAGTTCGGGAGAACAGCTGAAATTTTTTTGAAAAAGGGAAGAAGTAAATGAATTGGTGCCTACATGCCAAGACTGCCTAGGCAGAGATAGACAGGAGGCATGGTCTTGGGCTGCAGCCCACGCATAATCCCAGGAACTCAGGAGGCTGGGCTGGGGCAGGACGATTGCAAATACCAGACTCTTCTGGGCAACTTTGTGAAACCCATCCCCAAAAATAAGGGCTAGAGATACAGTTCAGTGGTAAAATGACACTGGGTTCAAGCCCCAGTATCTTTCTCCCACATCACACACACCGGCTTGGCTTTTGGCAATTTATTTTCTAATCGAAACCATCCCTTGACCAAAAGTAATAAGCCTGGGGTTTTTCACAAATCTCTCAATTGGCTTTAAAAAAAAAAAACGTAGATGGACACATCTTTATTTTTATGTGGTGCCGGGGATGGAACCCACTGCCTCACCTGTGCTTGGGCAAGTGCTCTACCACTGAGCCACAACCCCAGTTCTCAATGGGCTTTTGAAACTATCCTTTGAGAGGGAACTTCATTTTTAGGTAATGGCTAGAACAGTGACTACTAATGATAAAATAGAGGTCAGGGAAAGAGGGCAGTTGAATATGTTTATGACAGCTTCCTACATAGACTTGAGGTGATCTGTAATAGAAGACTAGTATGACCTGAAATAAGATCAAGGAGCCTGTAGGAAGGAGTGGGGTGCAAGCAAAGGAGCACTTGCCAGGATGCTGAATTTAGATGTCAGACTTGCAGCACCAAGATGAAGAGAGAGCCCTTGTCTTACCATCACATGATTAACCTAAAAGTTAAGATTATGATTATGATATAGAAGCTAAGAAAAAATTGGCACAAAACTCTTTGAACTACAAAGTGAACTGTATCCAATGAGATTTACCAAACATGTTTGCTTGTATCCCTTTGTAATTTATTGAATGCCAGTGAAATGCAGAAGTAGATTGTAAATCAGCAGTGTTTGTACCGGTGGAAGAGAACTTATTGCTTAAAATGTTATATTACATTGAAATGCAGGGCTTTTTAAAAAATATTTTTAGTTGTAGATGGACACAATATCTTTATTTTTATGTGGTGCTGAGGACCGAACCCAGGGCCTTGCACGTGCTAGGCGAGCTCTCTACCATGAGCCACAACCCCAGTCTGAAATGCAGGGTTTTTACGTTAAATGAAAAAGATCCCTTTGCTTAGACACCAGACATACAGGAAGCAAAACTGATGTTACTTTGACAACAGCAAGACTTGGAGAGGCCTTTCCACCTGTGCTTCTTGGGAAGGCCCTGTAGTAGATTCCATTTGATTAAGTGTTGCATAGTCAATCACATAAACGTCCTGGGCCTGGAAATGTTGAAGGCTGACTTGCCGCAAAACACTAGACCGTGAATATGCTGCATGGTGAGCGCCCTCTGTAGGTGAGCTGACTGGCATGTCAGGGACAAAGCTGAAGTAACCCCAAAGCCTGGCTATTGTGTCCCCACATTTACACTGGAGCAAGGACTCTCCCCTGAACACAGACTGAACTTCACTTTTTCTCTCAACAGACTACTGAAATATTACCTGGGAAATAAATATTTGGTAAGAATTGTTTAAGGAATAAGTTCCTGGGATAGGGATTACTTTCTCAGTTCAAACTCTAGATTGCACACGTGGGAACTTAAATTTTCTTTTCTCTCCTTTGTTTTTCTTGTTTTCTGATTACCCAGCCTTGAAGTTGCCACTGCTGATGAGTCTTCCCACCTCGTTCACCTGGCCCCGAATGCTCATAGCTCAGGTTTGGTAATTGTCCTCTCTCCTGGACCACCAGTAATTTTCTGATTACCCACCACACTCCGAGTCCATCTTGCACAGATCAGAAGGGTGATCTTCCTGATCCGACTTTCCTCATGAATCCACAATGGCCCCATGGCCTCTAGCAAGAATCTGTCTTAGTTAGTCACTGTGCATTTCCAGGGAAATAGCAGTGAATTGATCCAGCAGGTGGGTCCTTCTTGAGGTCCCAACACATAACAGCCTTAACTTTGATCAAAGTGCTATATATCCACTCGGCAACTTATAGGTCTTTTTTTTAATATTTATTTTTCAGTTTTGGTGGACCCAACATCTTTATTTCATTTTTTATGTGGTGCTGATGATCGAACCCAGTGCCCTGCACACACCAGGCGAGCCTGTTACCGCTTGAGCCACATCCCCAGCCCCAATTTATCGGTCTTAAAACAGATCACACAACAAAATCTTTTCTTCCACCACCTATTAGCTTAACTTAAGATCTGTCAGTATCATTTTTTTTTCACAGCTGCCAACAGTAAAAACCAATTTTAGCTAATGTAGGCAGTGGAGGACATTTCTTAAAAGGATAGTAAGGTGCGATTTCAGTAAAAAGTTGGCAACAATGGCATAATGTTCCATTTTCCTCAAGTCCTTGCATAAAAACACAGCAACTAGGATAACATGGGCAGTGTGCAGCAAAAGTAGTGAGTGACAAGGTATTCCCACAAAGCCCCAAATACAAGCAGGGCCAAAACCTGAACACAAACAAAGGCTGCTCAGCGTCAGCATGTACACAGGGAAAAGCAAAGGGAAACCTCCGTGGGGCATCCGCAACAGCCTGCTGCTGCTCCACACTCTGCAGGCCAACTGAGCAGGTGCTGGAACTGGGCAAGGTTTGCAACCCCATGTAAGTGAGTGCAAGGCAACTGCAATAAACTATGAAGGATGTAGCACTCTGAGCAATAGGAAATTCCTTTTCCCACTATAAGAATCCGGAGCTGCTTGAAATGGCAGATTCCAAGTTTGTGATAGGAAATGTGTAAGCTGGGCCCAAAATAACTTGTCACATCAGACAACAAAGAAACTCAGAATGTAAGGACATAAAAATAGGGCTTGGGAACTACCTTGAAGATGCCCACTCTGGCCAAAGACAGACAGTTAGACCATATTAAATGTGTTTAAATCACCGGGTGTGTGCCAGCAATTTTATGAGACCATGTCTCGAAAAATATAAGGGCTGTGGATATAGCTCAGTGGTCCTGGGTTCAATTCCAGAATTGCTATAAAATTTTTTTTTAGACCCACAAATTAATGAGTCCTCCCACATACACACATATAATTGGTCACTATCACAGGATGTCAGAGAAATGTTCTCCCCACATACCCTCCCCTGTGAGTAAAGAATCAAGAATTTATCTTGCCCTCCTTATATGAACTATACTAGGTAACTAAATAGTAAACTAGATGAAATTTCTATATAAAGAAGTATTCCAACAAAGAAAGAAGAGATGATAGAATCTTATTATTTTGTAACCTCTAATGAATTAATGGATTTAGTCAAAGTCAATAGCTATTAACATCACAAAAAGAGAAATCTAACAAAATATACATGGAAATACCAGGAACACAATACTTCTTATAATGAGGCCATGCAAAAAAAGAAAAAAAAAAGGAATCAAATCTGTAGTCTGAATCCAAGTGCCAATTTATAAAAAACCCAAGGACAGAGAAACATATTTAACTACATCAATCAACAAAATCCAGACTTGTAGAATTCATGGGACAATTGATCCAGCCTTTTCAACAGTTAAATTTCAATGGGAGAAACAGAGAAAAGCAAACAAAACTATAGTGTGTTTAGGAAGGTACAGAGGTCATATATTATTATTTTTATTATTATTTTTTTAATTAAGGAAATGTTTGCCCTAAAAGTAGGAGGATCTTCTTTCTAGAGAGGGAGCATTATAATTGGAAGGGTCATAAGGAGGGTCCCCAGGATGCCAAATCCTATATTCTGGTACTGGTATTGGTTATAAGGGTATTTGACGAATAACAAT